AAACAAGAAAACTCCGTTGTGTGCATCACCCCGTCCAATCTCCATCTTCGTGGCACAGTCCTGTGTGACGCAACAATTTTTGTTAAAAATAACAAGACAGAAATTATCACGTATAAGGCATCCAACAGAAATAAGATTGCACTGCAGATTGGGAACAAGTAAAACGTCCCGAAGCACCACATCGGGTGATAGATGCACACGGCCATACTGAGTTGCCGTGGTGTGCATGCCGTTTGGTAGTGTGATTACACACGGGCTCGTTGAAACCACATCAGTTAAAAAGGCAATATTACCGGTCATGTGATGGGAGGCACCACTATCAATAATCCACTCACGAGAAGAGGTGTCACCGCTACTCCCGGCATCCTTATCAACGGAAAGAGGATCAAGCATGGAGATGAGGCGCGTCATGTGATCAGGTGTAAGACCCAAAGCATTAGAGTTTGTAGCTGCATGCGCTCCCCCTGTTGTGGTGCCATACCCACGGTCAGGTGCACGTGTAGAAGCACCACCGCCACACGGCGCTGTATGGCCACCACCGCGACCCCCGCGACTAGAGGGACTGGCGCAGCCTCGCCCTTTTCCGGGGGGATACCCGTGGAGCTGGTAGCAACGATCCACCGAGTGACCATCCTTTCCACAGTGGGTGCACAAGTAATGAGGTGGGTCACCACGAGGCACAGTTGGAGTGGGGCGTTGCATGGCGAAGGCCACCGCATTCGTGCGATCATCCTGGCTTCGAACGATACTTTTATGTCGTTCCTCTTGGACAACCAATGCATAGGCTCAATGAAGATCAGGAACAGGCTCGGTGGCGATGATCTGAGAGCAAATGTGGCCAAGTTGTTCATCGTCGAGTCCGAGCAAAAAATGGTGGGTTTTCTCCTGTTCTTCACGTGCACAAATCAAGGCTGCGGCCTCACAACGACACCCACACATGGGGTCCACAGATCCATATAACTTGTTCCATAGCGTCACAAGTTGATTGTAGTAACCAACCACAGTCTGCCCTTTTTGTCGCAAAGATTGAAACTCAGATTTTAGTTGGTGAACACGAGGACCGTTAGATCCCCCATACTGGTCTTCAAATCCAACCATAATTCGTGTGCCACTTTATGAGAAATAATAGACGGTTGAATATGTTCATCAACGCTATTACAAATCCAAGAACAAATAATGGAATTGTTGGCTTTCCAAGCAGCAAGTTCCTGTTCATCGCTAGGTTTGGGAAACCCCGAAGGGAATAAAAAACCAGCACGGCTGCGCCCTTCAAGGGCGTTGACAATCTTCTTTTCCCAAACATCGTAATTGTCCCCCTTGAGAAGATGCTTTGTCAACGAGTTACCCGTACTTTCATACGGATGGATGTAGTAGGGTGAGGTGGGATCATGAATGAGCCGTACCTTTTTGGGAGTTTCAGCTGTCATATTGGCGGAATAGATTCGGCAACCGACGTGAGCCGGCGTAGGGAGCTCGTCGAAGTGAGCCAGTGAGAGAGTGACCGACGTGAGCCGACGGCAAGAACAACCGTCGTGAGGCGGTCTGCGTATCTACGGTGGCGGCACCGTGAGAGAAGAAAAACTACGGTTTGAGATATTTCCCGGGAATTGGCTTCGATACCATGTAGAATTTGGGAAAATCGAACTGATTTCCATTGAATATTTACGAAGTATAAATACAAGATTGTTGGGCTTTGGTTATGGGCTCGAGTACATACAAGGAAATAAGAATATTACTAGGATACAATAACATAAATAGAAATATAAATATATATACTCTAACAATATATATTGTGTAAAAAATTATCTTTTTTTTTGAAAAAAAATTACAAACTACAATGGAAGTTTTAATTTAAATTTGCTGAACTATATCGGAATTATCCACAACAAATTTTAAAATCAAATTATTTTAGATTGAGTGTATGGTAAGAAAATGGTTTGATTATTTAATCAATAAAGTTTAGAGAACCTATTGGAAAAAAAGTTATACAAAAAATATAAATTTAAAGAGAAAAATTATTTATTCAATATAATTGTGTGAATGGTGGCAAAGTTATGGTAACAAAGTAGTGCTAGACAGTCGGTCAATAGTGATCAACAATAACATCCGGTGGTGTGACAGTGTATAAAGTGTTGAAGTGATAATCTGGATCCTTAAAGTGTCGGTCAACGGTGGTCAACAGTAGCGTCCGACACACATAAGAGTGCGCAAAACACACTCCCAGGAGAGGCGTTCGCTTGCAAGGAAGCACTTTCTTAGTTAAAAAAAGAGGTGTTCAGGAAGTGGAGTTAGTTTCGGATTGCCAGACGCTTGTTTATGCTTCTCGGATTTTGATGATGGTCATTCTTTTATGCTATCATTTAATTTTGTTTCGATAAGCTTTGTTCGAATCGTTGAACATGGTGACTCATACTTTGGCTAGAAATACAATTAGACTCTTATTCAACTAGGATCAGTGTGGGAGCTCTCTCCATCTAATTTTGTAAAGATGTTTATTTGAGCTTATTGATATTCTATTTCAGAAAAATCTAGGTTTACCCCAAGGTGGTGTACCCCAAGTGTACACCACCTTCTTGCCGACACAAAGAGAATGAGCTGAGTATCTGTTTATGTATGTGAGAAGATGGTGTATTAAGAAAATTACCTAAGAAAAAGATACTCGTACAACATTAATATACTGTCAGGCTAAAGAAAATGATCCTATATCTTCAAGATAGAGACTAAAGTAGTGTTTCATTAAGTATTACCCGAACCACATTATATATGAACGTGAACAATAATAAAGTAGAGTAAGTAAAAGCAAGCTAAGGTTATGTAGGTCGCCTCTAGTTTTAACCAAATGAGAATGATCTTAACCGCGAGAATATACTTTATCGTGAGAATGATCTACTTTTATACCGTCACGATGTGTTTTTACATTGAGGTAGTGCATTTTCAGCATCGGGAGTAAAGTTCAACTTATTTACCATAATACCACCATATCTTTTCAGATCTTTTAAGTTTTTTTTTTTTTGAATTTTTTAAGCCCTTAGATCTGACATTTAATGCACGAGACGCATTCTTGTGTGTGTGTGTCTATATATATATATATATATATATATATATATATATATATATATATATATATATATATATATATAGACACACACACACACATACTCCCTCCGTTCACAAATAAACTTTACGTTTACTATTCACATGGTCAAACTTTATTCACTTTGTTGACCTATTTTCGTCACCATATATATATATATATATATATATATATATATTGGTTCTGGTGAGAATATGATCTTATGAAAGAAATAAGAATGAATCTGGTGCTCTAGCTTGTGAGATCTAAGGCTCAGAATTGCATCAAAATTAGGTGCATCAAAATGGTTTGAAAATGCATCATGTCGAAATACACCAAAATCCTTTGAAAATGCACTATCTCAAAGTATGAGTGCAGGATGCAATCTGAGCCGCACGATGCATCAGATCCAAAGGCTAAATTTTGTTCTTATTTCTTTCACCAAAAAAGAAATGTAAGTGACTAATTTACCCGGCCGACACTCTACCCATGATTTTTGACCCACTTGAACTTTAACATAGTATCAGAGCAGGTCTGGTCAGGGTTCGATTCTCCCAGATTGTTGGACGTGGGTTTACCAAAAAATGAGCTATCCGTGGTTTGGATTGTAATACCCTAATCCATGCAGGTCTACAACCCTTTTTAGACTAAAGTATAAACTTGGTAATCATAAAAATTTAATACATTTCAAACATTTTTATTTATTATAATAATATTATATTTTTCATAACAGAAACAATACGGGCTACATAGTTTTCAATATTGAGGAAGTTTAACAAATCACAATCACAAAACATAATTAATTTATGTTCTTTAATTCAAAATCATCACATCCATTCCGATTATCTCGCCTCTGTCTGCCGCCAGGATCATGTCACATCATTTTTTCTATTTACCTGCGTGTAGCAAATAAAACATACTACACGCTGAACGTTGAAGCTCAGTAAGAATATGTAATGTATCGAACATTCATATAAATTGAATCTCAAATCATAATCAAATCATTTGATATCATGCACTCTATACCTTTTCTTGTCATTTAAAATTCAAAAAAGTAAATTTTAGAAATGAAATGCATGATTTGAAAAAAAATGTTACTCCGTCCATTACAAATTAAGTTAGTTGTTTACTATTCATAAGATCAAACTTCATTTAATATAGGCATGTCACTTCCTTAATATTGAAGAACTTTTAAAGTAATTTATAAATATGTAAATCTTATTTTTTTTAATTCTACTATAATTTTCAAATAAATTATATTAAAAAATCTTCATTCAAATATTATAAATATTATATTAAATTGAATAGAATGAGTAGTCAAAATGATACTCAGACAGCAACTAGACAGTACATACGACTGGAAAACTGATAGTCTTGTACTCCCTCCGGCTTCCATCTTTAAAAGATTGTTATGGTTTGACTTTTTGGTCAAATTGTGGCACCCCTTAATAACGAATTATAGAAAATGTATATCTAAATATAATGAAAATTTAATAAAATTAGATTTACTTTAAAATATAGTTATAAAATATGAAATTTTTATAATATTTAATTATTTTAAAATTTATTTAATTTGTGATAAAAAAATTCATAATTTAACTAAAAAAGTCAAACTGTGATAATATTACTCCGTATTACATTAAGGGTCCGTTAGGTATACGAAATTGAAAGAATTGGAATTGAATTGGAATTGAAATTCCATGGGATTCAATTCAATAGAATTGAATTTTGCAAATTCCAATTCATTTTTTGTACTATCAATTCAAAATTCACATAATTTTTGTGCTACCAAACACCAAAATTTGAATTGAAATCCTCAATTCTAATTTCATGGTTTAAATTCCATGTATCAAACATGGCCTAATATATTTATTGCACCTGCTAAAGAAATGATAAGCTCGACGGCGACTACATGATACGCCTGGCAGTGGCAGGATGCTTTCAAAGGAGAAACTTAGGGACTGTTTGTTTCAGCCTCTTAATGGTTCAAATGTGTGAATGATTCAGCACTTAATGGTTCAGACTGTTTGTTTCAGCCTCTTAATGGTTCAGATGTCTGAATGGTTAAGAGATTTGCCTCTGAATGGTTAAGTATTATACAGAGTCTGAATGGTTAAGACCTCTTATCTGAATTGATCAGACATTTGCCTCTGAATAGTTAAGCAATATACTAGCTCTTAATGGTTCAGACCTCTTACTGGTTCAGCACTTACCGATTCAGAAGTTGCCAAACAGCCCCTTACTCTTTTACTCTTTTTGTTTTAACATAATCATGTTTGGGATGTACTGCGTATCAGTGAAAAAGAAACATTGTCATTATTTATACGGATGAGAGCATGAGACTATGAGACACATGGTCCACATATTATAACAAGGGGAATGTTAGGGGTACACCAAATGTGTGCCCCAAATGTCCCCCACCCCCTCCATAACCATTCATTTTTATTTGCTTTCTATTTTAATTATTTTTTTTTAATTTTCTTGCCTACGGAGTACTTTTTATTCTAGAGAAACTCCCTATATTTTTAAACCAAAAAAAAGGAAAAATAAAATTGCTTTGCTGTGAGAAAGTTCATAAAGTATAATATGGACCTCAAGTTCACATAATATAATATGGACGGATGGACCTCAAGCCCACTAAAGAATCACTATTTATACATTCTACCTATCTAAAAACCTATCCATCTATTTTAAAATTATTTTATCTACATTGGACTATAAATATTAGTATAAAAAAAATACTACTCCCTCCATCCTAAAACTATCTTCTCAGTTACTATTCACACGATAACACTTAAATCACTTTCTTTACCTATTTTCATTAACTAGTTGATTAAACAATATAGTCTTGTAATCGGTCTCTTGTGTTGTAGAACTTTTGATGTAGTTTTTAAATATATAAATTTTATTTTTTTAATTTAGCACCTATAATAAAATAAATTGAATTGAAAATAAAATTGGTGAAACATCGTAAACACAAACGAGAAGATAATTTTAAGATGAAGGGAGTACAAATTATATATTTCAAAACTTTATAGAAAGTTCTATAAATGGGATGCGACAAAATGATTGTATTTTCTCTAATAATCAATTAAAGAACATAAATAAAAAAAAGGCTAAAATCATCAATTGGTCCTTAAACTTTATGAGTTTTGCACGATTGATCCTTCAACTTTCAAAAGTCCATGAATAGTCTTTCAACTTTATGAGCCATGCACGATTGATCCTTCAAGTTTTAAAAGTTCATAAGTAGTCCGTACACGTCAGCCCTCCAGATGAGTCCTTTTGAAAGTAAACATTAAAAGCTAAATGGAATACTAGTTCTACATAATACGGAGTACAAGTAAATTCTACTAGGTACAACTACTTCGTATTATATGGAGCTAGTACTCCATTTAGCTTTTAACGTTTATCGTCAAAAGGACCTCACCTGGAGGGCTGGCGTGTACTTGAAGGACTAGTTATGGACTTTTAAAACTTGAAGGACCAATCGTGCATAACTCATAAAGTTGAAGGACTATTTATAGACTTTTAAAACTTGAAAAACCAATCGTGTATGACTTATAAAGTTGAAAGACAAATAGTAGAGTTTAGGCTAAACAAATATTAAACGGCCAAGCAAATTCACAACCAAATTAACAAATTCAAGTTAAAACTATGATTGCAAATGTGCCTTGACCATCAATAATTCAATATAATGTCTTAAACCAACATGAGAGAATTAAAGCTAAAAACAAAACACATTCATCATTATATCCCCACGCCAAAAATCAATGACCAACTCAAAGAATCTAAACTCCCAAGTCCATAAAACTATGAACCAATGCCAATAGTTGCCTCCAAACTATTGCAATGGCCAGACGTTGTCATACTGGAACATAAAATGTACGTAGTATTGTTGCCAATATTAACTCGACTCCAAGCTATTGCAGTGGGTCGGAATTTTTATTTCTCGAACTAAAAAATAGTCACCACTCCCAAACTAGTAATTAAAAAACCATAATTACGAGCTTAATCCGAGGGTAACAATCTCGCATCAGTTAGAGATCAACAACATTGAAGCCATATACTCAGATCAGCAGCCTTTTGAACCAAAAGAACATAGGTACCTCGTACTCAAACCAGCAAAAACAATACTTCTTCCTACCAGGAAAATAAAGTCACATTTAAATCCTTAGCCATAGACCATAGTCCCCATCAGAGCCATCGTAGCACCCCAACTCACATAACCTGAATACAATGAATTAACGGGTCGATTTGCTACTAAATCGATATCTAAAAACAATATTTTAGAAACAACCATTTAAAAACTATATTATAAATAACAAATCAAAAATATTTTTCAATATATTATCAATCATTATCGGAGATTTCATAACAGTGCGGAAACAAATATCATTGTTTGATCATTACCAAAATCAATTCGTTCAAAATTCCATTTAACTGATCAGTAGTTTGAGCCCACATCCGTACATCTCATTCGTCTTGCTGCTTCTCGGGGAGTATTCCATCTGTAACATAAATCACACCCGCGTGTAGCCCAACACAAAAAATTGTTTTCTTTATCATCTTCCCGGCAAATTCTTTCGTAGACTTAAAGTTTGTCATTTTATGGACTTTAGAGTATTTATATCATAAAAGTAAAATTTTTGCAAAAAAAAATCCTATTCCCATGTAAAATATGAGAAAATCTATATTTTAAATATGAACTTTAAGACCATATAAGCATGATTCTTCATTCTCATCTTATTTTCTATTCTTTTAGTTTTGATTTTTTATTAACCCCAAACCCCAAATATTGTCAGCGGCTCATCTCCATCACTATTCGTAGCAAGCCAGCCCGGCCCGCCGTCTCCAAGTCCAACAGTCAACAGATCTTCTCCCCGCGCCGATTATTTCCCGGTCGTCATCTCCTTCTTAGATGGCTTCTTCTCTCGCATTCCGATCACATCATCGCATCTTCTCATCTATCACATTACGCCGGCCAGAAACCAATTTCTCCTCCGGAAATCACAATGGTTCCCTGGATTCAACCCACAAATCACGGCGGATTCCATCCGGATTCGCGATGAATTTGGCCCGTACCTAGCAGCATCGGATACTCTGTCCTTCTACAGAAATGAGTGGAAATCAGGCTTGAAGTTCATTTTTCCTGTTTCATTTACAAGGGAGGGAAGCCATGGAAAACTGTGAAGCTCTTCAAGGAAATAAATACAAAAGGGATTGAACTGAGTTTTGAACCAAACGTGACAACATAATTATAAAGCTTGTGTGAAAATATATGAGGGTTGAGGATGCACACAAGGTGTTCGATGGAATCTGAGTTTTGAGCCGAATGCAATTTCTTCAGATGTCTTGAAAAGCCAAGCGAGGTTGGATACATGTGTGATGCTAATGAGTAAGTTTGGATCCATTTTCATACAGTGAATTGGCTGAAATTGTTCAATATCTTGTGGATAGAAATCTTTTGGTGACATACATTGCAGCAAAATGAGTCAAAAAGTGCTTAGTTTGCTTGTTGTAAGTTGATTGTGGCAATGTGGCCACTAGATAAAACAAGAAATCATAACCTAAGTTTTCTTTAGTACATATATATGTGCAGGATATTGAAGTACATATCTTGTCTTTGGACAGGTAACAGAAGAGAAGCCAAATATAATAACAGTATTTCTTGATCTTATTACATCATTTAATTGCAGATTAAGCAGATCACATAAGAAGATCACATAAGCATCTCCGTTTTCAGTTCCATCTGTCCATGGCCGCTAGGTAATTTGACTCTCTATTACACTTTTAAATTTTAGCATCAGGTGATTTGATCATCTAATAAATTAGGAGGAGATTGCCTTCTTCAAATTGAGCAAGGGTTCTCTCAACTAAGGTTATCTTTTAGTTCAGGATAGTTCAATTTAGGGGAGCCCCAAACTGCCTGTGTTGGGTGAAGGGTCGGCGGCAATGATTCTGCAGTCGGCGGTGGCGATTGTTCAATCCGCGATTAGGGTTCTTCGTCTGTTCATCTCTCTCAAAAACATTTACTCTAATGGCCTCAAACCCTAACTGTTTTAGCAATGATGTACCAAAAAATACCCACTCCTTTTGAGTATAAATTTTCATGATAAACGTTTTATCCCAAGGTTAGAGAAAACAAGACGGGAAAATGAAGAATTATCTAAAATCCAAATTAAAATATATCAAAATAATATGGAGTAATTCTTGCACAAATTTTAAATGAGCACTTGAATCATACTAATCTACATCCAGGAGATAGAGAATTCGAAATACAACCATCTTCCTAAAGGAAGATGAACCACCAGAAGTGTAATGGGCTATTTTGCCTCCCCATCTGCATATGTATCAGTCCTTGGAAGACTCTAACCAATCAAGTTGCACAGGTTTTGAAGAAAAAGGACGAGTAGCACTTGGCTGCATCCAACAACAACTCAATTGTTCTTTCGTCCCGAAAAGATCTTTTTTACAAAAGTTGCTCCCAAATGTCTTGAACAAACCCGTCTCAAGACAATAGAACACAATGTATTGTTTGTGGAATCTCGGGAGGTAAATCTTATTCTCCATCCCCTCTATAACTTTCTCGGCCGCAAATGATGAATGTTCGCTAAGAAACAACATGTAATCCCCCAAACACTCCACTTTAACCCATTCCATTTTGTCCCTCTCGTCCAATTCAAGAACACAAATGCGTTTCCCCATGTAAGACATATACACTGCCATTAACTTCCCTTTGCATTGCACCAAGTAGCTATCATACGCCCTGCCAAGCTCTTTAGGTAGACCTGAAACCTCGTGAAATTTCCAGGTTCGCCCTTCAAAATCAAACACCCTCAGGTTGCCTTCGATGCCCAAGACATACAACTTGCCATTGTGGAGAATTGGAGAGCATTGGGATATAAATCCTGAGGTTTCTTGTTCTACGTCAGAGAAATCCTCCCAAGTCTCTTTTTCGCGAGTGATGGTCAAAATATGATTCCAACAGTTAGAATGAACCCCGAAAACAACACAATCGGGAGAGGTTGGTTTGGACAAGAAGATTACGCTAATACTTAAGCCCAATCCGCTTACCCATAAGTCCTCAGGTCTGTCGGGCAAGTCCACTCTCTCATTGGTGAAGGGGTTGACAAAGAAAGTTTCTTGAATTCCTCTGCAAAATAGAAGCCAGCCGTTGTTGGAATGTGCCAAACTTGCAAGGGAGAGCTCGGGGATGTCAATGCAGTGTGGGCCGTGGCCATAAACCGGGTGGAACAACTTCAACACAGTGCTGGTGTGAGTGTCTTTGTGGACAAGCCATTGAGATGGTACAACGGGACAGGTTAGGGGGTTGTGGTCTTTAGGATCTTCAAGTGAGCCCCAAGTTTTGCACACTTTGTGAAAGCTTTTGGCATCATCAAGACAGAGGTGTTGTAATATCTGTGTCAGAAGCTCGCTTGGAAGACTTTCCCATGCCCTATAATGGTTCCCATCAACTTCTTCTTCTTCTGCTCTTTTTCCTTCCAGATCATCCACCTTCACATAATCTTCCATCTAAGAACGCCAAAACGCAGTGCAATGATTCTTTAGTAAGCGAGGCTTCAAGCTGTCTATATATATATATATATATATATATATATATATATAAATATAAATATATATATATATATATATATATATAAATATATATAATTAATTAACGGGGGGGGGGGGGGGGGGGGG